ATCGACGAGCAAAGATCAAAGGGACGTTGGATCATCCTTGGACGACCGCCATCCTCCACCACTCCGACGACCTATCCAAGAACGACGATCTTAGGCTCCTTCTTCCTCGGTTCTAATGTGGAGACTCTTCTTCAGTTAAAGCCTAAACTAGTTGAGCGTTTGGGCTCCAAAGGTGAAAGTTCTCATTATTAAATTGCGGATTCTTGTTTATCGTCGTAGTTTTACAGTTGATCTTTGCATTTTCTTAAATTGTTTGGTTAATCGACTCCGCTATTCTTAGCCTAAGCAAGTTAAAAACCACGAATTCCAAGGATCAATCTTTTGCTATAAGTGACAATTTTATTTTGGATTATTTTGTTAAAATTGCTCTCTTTAATTTCTTAAAGTAACTCCATCGCATGTTTGTTTCACATCAGATTTATTTAAGAAAAGGGGGCTTATTTGGGAGAGTATTATGGGAGCCTATTTAAGGCTAACAATAGGGTGATTTTAGATAATGTTTGTAGTTTGCTGAAATTAGAATTTCTTAGGTTATTTGGGCTCTAGCCGGAAGCTAGGGATTTGGGAGAACCGGATCTTCCTATCGAATTGAAAATCCAACTATATCTTGCTATTTTCTTTTATACATCTTGTAATAAAAATAATTTTGGTGTGTGTTTTTTTTCCTAATTTCTTATCGCCGTTCGCTGATTTCGAGGAAAAGTGCATCCACTTTCTCTCAGTCTATTAAGTGCATAAGGTGTATGCAATGTCATCAAGAAAGGCTATGGAGAGCAAGACGATCTTACCATATCCCAAGCCCATAGGAAAACCTTACAGGATTTAAGAAATAGGGACAGAAAATATCTCTGCCTCATCGTTTAGGAGTTGGCTAAGGATGGGTTTGAGAAACCTCAAATGCAGCTATGACCAAAGAATTGGGGAGAACCTTTAAATTTGCAACAAGAGAGCAGAGCAAGTGGAAAAGATTCATCTTCTAGTTCTTAGAAGTGAGTTTGATTTTTTATTTATAGAGGAATCTGAATCAAATTCAAATTATTTTTCTAAAGTATTGGATATTGTCAATCAATTGACAAAATGGTGACAACGTTCGTAACTGAAAGTCATGAAGAAAACTCTTCACCCTTTAAATCAAAATTTTGAGTTTGCGGATACCATCATTGAATAAACAAAATATTTGGAACCAATGAGTGTGGATTGATTATTGGGTTCCTTGCAAGCCTATAAGAAAAAACAAAAGAAAGAAAAAGCAAAAGGAGATAATAGTACAACTGCTATAACACAACTTGAATGAAGAAATCTTTGATAATGATAAATGCTAAAGAGGAAAGGATGTGGTCATGGACAAGAAATAGAAGGAAGAAATTGATACAGAAACTCCAATAACTTTAATGATGGAGATAAAAGTAGAAATCCCCCAATATCAAGTGGTCATGGAAGAAGCAATTCATAGTCGAGGTATGACAAGTTTCATATCAAATGCTGCAATTTTCATATGTTCAGCCAACATGCTTCTAAGTGTACATGTACAAGAGAAATAGAGGAGAAGACTAACTTTATAAAAGTGAAGAAAAAACAAGGAATATTTTTTCATGCAAGGGCAAAAATAGATGTTACATTTACACAAGTACAAAATATCACTTCTATGAAGGAAAAAACATGTTTGTGGAGCTCAACTATGTGTGAAGAGTAAATGTTTCATTTGGAGATGAATAAAAAATACTGATAGAAGGAAAATGTAAAATATTAATAGGTTTGAAAAATCATGGTTGTCAACTCATTAGAAATATTTACTTCGTGCCCAAAATAAAGAATAAATTTTGAATTTGGGTCAATTATTAGAGGAAATATATAATAAGCACCTGAAAAAAAAAAAAAACTTTCCTTAAGAGATGCTAAAAATAATTTGATCACCATGTTGCCTATTTCAAAGAATAGAACAATTCCTTTGAATATTTAATTTAAAGCTACAAAGTGTTTAAATGCTTGTTATAGTGATTCATCATGGTTATAATATTTATGATGCAGACACCTCAACTGTGGTGGCTTTTAATTTAAAAAAAAATGAGATAATAAGAGGTTTACATTGCCTTTGCCAACCCAATCAACTATGTGAATGATGCTTACTTGGGAAGTAATTCTGCAAAAGCTTTCTAAATGAGTCAACTTTAAAAGACATGAAGCTATGCACACTGATGTTCGTGAGCCTATTAGACCGATGTCTTTCCTTCTATTTATTGATAATTTTTCGAGGAAAATGTGGGTGTTTTTTAAGGAGAATTCAGAGCTTTTTAAAATTTCCAAGAAGTTCAAAGTTTTTAAGAAAGAAAGTAGTCTTGACATTAAAACTATAAGATCCGATCGAGGTGGTGAGTTCACATCAAGCGAATTCCAACGATATTATAAAGATTATAAAATTTGTTATACCCTAGTCTTGAATTTCTCATAAAGTTTTGGAAGTAATGTATGTGTCTACATTCTAGATAAGAAGGAATAAAGCTTGATGGAAAAAGTAAAAGCATATATTAATTGGCTATGACTCAAACACCAAAGGCTATAAACTCTATAATTTAATTAGTTGAAAGACTCTCCTTAACCATGACATGAAGTTTGACAAAGGAGATTTTTGGGAGTTAAAAACACAAAAAATATATGTACAATTTTCTTCCTTTAAAGAAGAAGAAGAAAGTGAGCAATCAAGGATAGAAGACATTAGAAGAGAAGAAGCACAAAAGCTCACTATTTTGTTAATTATATATATAATTTGCTAAGTGGTAAAGATAGAGAAAATGAGACATTTAAAATAGTTAAGGCAGGAGAAAGGAGATCTAGACTGGTTTGTCCAATTTGATATATTTAGATGAAGATAATCGGGTGTTATCTAAAGATGAAGACAAGAATGAAAAATAATGATGGTATTTAGAAAAAAAATAATAGATCGGTTAGAACATTAATGAAAAAATGACAAGAAAAAATTAAAAAAAATCATGAATCATACTCTTGATGAATAAAGGTGAATTGTGCTAGATTTAGAGACGCAATAAGGTAAAGATTTAAGTATATCTAATATTTATTGAGATTTTGACAACTATGATATATTCAACAAATTTTTTTAATAAAATCTATGGTTAAGATTTCACCAAATAATTGTAAGCAATGGAGATTTTTGAGATTGTGTTAAATTATTTAGGAATTAAACTTTTGTGTTTTACAATTAAGTTAGTAGATAGTGTAATGGAACAAAAGTTGAGAAAAGTATATTAAATATTGGATAACCCAAAAAAATATTTATTATTGAGGTTTTTTAATCTAATAGAAAAATGCAAGAGCGATGAGAGGATATTTTTATGATTTTGTTGATTTTGTAAAGACATACACCACATTATATTGAGAACTTATTTTGTAACCATTAAGAAAAAAAGATGTGTCAAAGCTGTGTTGATGTTATTAAAGATATATAAAAAGAATTTATGATTTTAGAAATAGTTGTAAAGTGACTAAACAAATTTTAATTGCATGAGGATTACAACTTGGATCAACAATACATATTTACTTTTTTATAATAAATGTAAAGATGCTAACAAAAACATTCAAGAAGATGTACCTTTGTATATGCTTTTTCTAATGATAGTGTTGATAAATATGGCATTTACTAATGTAATTAAAAAGGTAGCATGAAAGAATTTTGACAGATAAAAATTTAAGTATTAGTACAACAAATACCAAGTACATAGTATGAAATTTTAATGAATGTTAAACTGGTAATTATTAGTCAATATTATTAGAAAATCAAGCAATATACTAAAGAGTGATATCTTTAAATACTTTGGGTTTATTGTACAAAAGAGAGATAGATGAGCATATAACTTATAGAGTGGCATGTAATTGCTTAAAATGGATTTGATACGGAGTGCAGCACATTAAAAACTATCTTGGAAAGATTAATGTGTAAATATATAATTTTATTGTCTATATTATATGAACGTAAGTGTTTGTTATAAAAACATGTCACTCATTTTCAAGTGGAGTGAGGATAAAATGATTGTTCCAAGATGAATATATTATAAAATTATTAAATAATTTAGTATTGATTATATTCGACAGATCACAATCATAACACTTATTGAAGTAAAGGTAGTGGAAATTATACAAGTTGTTTGTGCATGTGCAATGGAAACAAAAGTTACAATAATAAAGTGGGTGAATAGAATTATTGTAGAAGGATTAGAAAATATAAAGTTTGACAAGTAGTTAGGCAAAAAGGCTAGTGTATAAGTGACTTTGAATAGGAGAATTCAGTTGAAAAAAATTTGTAGAAATAAATTTCACGCTTCTTAAAATGTTTAAGAAGAATGAATGGAGAATAAGGATTCAAAAAACTAGCTCCAGATCATTTCATTAGACAATTATATTTGTATATTTCATTCTTGTTGTATTATAAAGCTTTGCAGGTGGTTCTATGTTTAAGAGGAAAATGCTGGATGATAGGAAATTTCCCAAAATGCATCTCATTTTGCAGCGGCTTCTACAGGTAGCTTCAAGGCTAAACTTCATTTGTAGCTTAACTGGACTATTTTTTATACTAAAAATTGAAGTCTGATAGAATCAAACAAGCAGCCAATTAAGGTTTCGTTTGGGACAGTTTTCGTACTGCTTCCTAAAACAACTTTTTAGTTTAAAATTTTCTAATTCAAAAAATTTTTGTATTAGAAAGCTGATTTAGAAAGCAACAAAAAAATTGTCCCAAACAAAGTCTAAGTTTGAACTTAATAGTCCTACTTTACATTTTAAGAAAAGCAAAAATATATTGTTTTCCCTCTTTCTTCAATACATAGCCTGCCACATATCAAGGTTCAAACATAAAAACAACACAGGAAAACATAGCCCTTAAATTTTTCATGTAATTTTACATTGCAATTATTTTTATGCTTATTCTTTCTTAATAACCAGGTGGTTTCTCATTGTGAGCAAGTGTTCCCACGAGTAAAGGAGAAATGTGCATCCAAAACTTGGTTTGCAAGTGAAGATATCGTCACTCTGGAAGAACTAATCGCTCGACTGAGAAGAATAAAAGAGAATTTAGGTTTTTTAGTAAATCGAGTGATGGCTATTCAGGCTGGTTTAGATAGCTGGCAATCTGAGCAAATTAATAAGAAGCTATATTATCTTTCTTTCCTGTCTATGATCTTCCTTCCTTTATCCGTAGTCACAGGAGGTAAGTTTTTTATGTTAAAAACTTTATTCCCAAATATTTCTCTTAAATTAATCAAATTTTGATGTAATGATATACAGTGTTTGGCATGAATGTCGGAGGGCTTCCATGGACAGGACAAAAGGGCCCAGGCATAGATAATGGATTCCTGAATGTTCTGATTATCTGTGCGGTGCTGCTGCTGCTGGTTCTTCTGCTCTTGTTCACGTTTCCTTCTCTCATCGACCGGTTTAATGGTTGGAGAGGCCAATTGTTGAATAAGACCAGAAGTTTTGGTAGAAGATCCTCTTTGATAAGATCGATTGATAAATATCAACGCATTTGAAAGATCATATTGGGTGTTAAGGTAAGATATGATTCTGCTTTGAAAAGCTGTTTTTCATGAAGATCATGTATTGTTTGACTAGTCTAGTGGATTAATTATTCTGTGCGGATGTTGAACGCCGTCCAGAGATTAATCAGAATACATCACGTCACTCTTTCACTGTGTACCACGGCTTGGTACTGCTCAGTACCGCTGCTGACATGGCTGCACCTGATTTACCTCCGAACAGAGCTACGTCCAACCTCCCCACAGAATAATTTCTCGGTCTAGTGGGCTTCATTAAAGAGAGAAAATTATAGAAGGAATTCCTTTCTTTTGTGCAATTATTGTCCATGACGCATCAAAATTCGTGTTAATGGTACGATGAATTGATCATTCATTCCCCTTGCGTTAGGAACTCTCTTCAATTTTTTTGGTATTCTTTGATGTGGACTTCAATTCTTTGTAAAGATTTAAATTTATGTATAGTGATACAAAGCTGAGATTGAACTAGTTATAATAGATGCTTAGCTACATGACCTCAAAAGCACAAGAATTGCTTCGGGTCTGCTTGGAATTATTTTAATTTTTTTATTTATTTTGATATGAATTAAAATATATTTTGTACCTTAAAAATATCATAATTTTTATTATTAATTGAGTTTTGAATAATTTGATTTATATGATGGCAGACGGGATAGTGATAATGGTACGCAATAAAGACGTTGGATGGGTTTGTTAATTATCTTCAAAATCAATGAAAAATTCTTAAAATTATTGTGTTTTAAAATAATTTGATTTTTTTTCTAAAAGTGTAATAGTTAAAAAAATATACTAACCTTATATGTATTTTAAAATAAAAATAAAAAAACATGATTGCACACAAGCTTTAAGACATTTTAATAAAATTTTGAGTAGTTAATTTATGCCGGTGATGGAGATGCGGTGATTCATTTGGCGGGTTCGAGCGGGCGGAGGGCGGAGTTCGGAACCGGAGTATGGGAAGGTTTTGGGTTTTTTGGTTAAATCCGAACTTGATCTGGTTTTATAAATGAGTCAAAATCTCAAATCTGAACTCGGAATTTTTCCGATCGGGTCAAGACACCCCTATTCACTTGCATGATTTAAATATTTCAAGAACTTTTTTTTTTTTTTCATTTAAGTCAATTAAGATAAATTCACAAACACATTAAAACTTGAAATTCAATACCTCTTGATTGATAATCAAAGCTCTTAACATACCAAGATGAGAAGCTGGGCAAAATCATATCTTCATCATACAGCTGTGATTCATTCCCTGCTTATTTATTGTAAATTTAACAGCATTAATTTTTTTTTGCTTTAGCAAAACTTATTAGTTTATTATTTCTTATTTAAAAATTAAATTAGATAAACGTTTATTTTATGCTAATAATGTTATATTTCATTAAACAATTTTTTAAATTTTATCACTTGACAGTAAATGATGTAAATATAATCAATAATATTCCTAATCTTATTTGAAAATTCATATTACTTTTGGAAAAAAAATCTAATTTTTATCAAAGAATAAATATATAATTGGATTGCCTCTTAATTCAAAATGAGCGATAATAAATTCAAAGTGAATAAATCATCCATTTTTAAGCTTATTTTCTTCTCAAAAGCAGCAGAATAACCCCAAACTCCAAAATTATAATTTTTGTTCTATTTAATTCCCTTTACATCTCCACCATCTCTATTAAAAACTACTAAAATACTTCACTCAAAACTTACCTTAAGCCTACGCTGATCTTCACTCTTAATAAAAATTTAACTTATTCTTAACCAAACCATTACTCCATATAGTTATTCATAGCCAATATTCACATGCACACATTCCTTCAAATACGCCTATAAACCATAACAACACTGACAGACTTACAAACATTCCAAACGAAGCAGAGACCAAAAGAAGAAAGCAAGATAGCTCAGCTTAACACCTTGGAGATATAACAGACACAGTAGAAACCTTGAACATAACATATTTATAGACTTCATCAAACACTAAAAACAACTTATAAAAGAGCCTTCAAATCCTCAGCTTGCAGACCACAGAGCTTACTCTTTAGTTGGAGCTGAAAGTGAAGCTCGATTTGGAGGCAATATTGGAGGAATTGGAAGTGGTGGAAGTGGTGGAAGTGGAACTCCAGGAAATGGAAATGGAGGAAGGAAGGGTGGAAGAGGAAAGCTAGGAAAAGGTGGTAATGTAAATGGTAATGGCGGAAATGGAAATCCTGGAACTCCAGCAGGTGGCAGAAGCTGCTTTCTTCCAGCTTCAACATCATTGATTGCTTCTTCCTTCATCAGTCGAGCTTCAGCAATCTGCACAACACTGCCCAATGCCAACAGTGCACAGATTACTGAAAAAGAGAGTAGCTTTGCGTTTGCCATTGCAGAACTTCAATGGCTTCTTATCTGCTGCAGTGTTTGATGAAAATGGCGATGGGAGGGGCCTTAATTTATAGGCATAAGGTGCTCAGTGTGCATTGTATAAGAAGTGCGATAGTAATAGAATGGAAAATAATAAATTCAGAATGTGTAACGGTTGCCAACTTTAACTCCAGAAGACAGCAAGTAATTACCATTAAAGGGTTAAGTATTGGAAAAGAAAAGTAAAGCTGATGCAGAATTAGAATGAGCTTAAATCATCATATTGAATGCTAATTAAAGAATGGAAAGCATTGGAAATAAACAATAATATGGTATCATTTACTGCAAGCTTAAATTAGTTTGATTCCAGACTGTAAATGCGTTCAGATAATCTATAACAAACGATTATGCAGAGCCTTTAAAGCAAAATTTTGGTGAAGCTATATAAACAAATATATACTGTTTCTTAAAAGCAATTTTTTAGTATAAAAATTAAATTTTTTTAATTAAAATTTTATTTTAAGAAGTAATAAAAAATTCATTCCAAATAAAGTGAAAATCACAATCAAACAGCTTTTCATATCAGTGGTTTGAATTTAATTGTAAGATGCGTGTTACATTAAAATCAAAAGCACCTGGACTTGAATTGCACTTGGCAGGTGCCGCTGCCCGTTCTAACCCTAATAGGTAGTAGGTACTGTTGCCGTGTTGCGTATTTATGTGGGTTCGGCTTTGAATCTTAGGAAATGCCTGAGATAATTTTTTATTATTATTTATATTTTGATATAAAATTAAATATATTTGATATCTTAAAAATTGAGATTATTTTTTTATTTTTATTTTATTTTGGAATTTTAAATATA